AATACGGCCAAATGCCGCTTGGATCTAAAACCGCTGTTGGGTAAGTTACATCCACGGGACGATCTATACGACCGACATCGAATATCCTCCGTCCACCCAATGACGAGTATACACGGTTCTAACTATCTAGAACGGCGGTTAGCTAACTGCCACAGTCTGAAAGCTGTATGCTGCAGAGGATCAGTCAAACGAAATCGAAACATTCATGTTTCAGAATCTGTTATCAGCAGAAAGAAAGCTTAACTTCTAGGTAAAGATACTTGAACGTCTAGAATGACACGACTTATCTAGCTACTTATCAGAAATTGTAGCTAATCTCACTACACTAAAGCATATGTATAAAGCGGAACATCTACACGCTATTTTCACATACATAAGTACTCGGCGAGACAGAATAAATACAAGTTACCTATAAAGTCTCTACAGCTTTTCCCCAGCCATATTTTACTTACAAGTTAGCTATCGGCAATAGCTTGGTCGTCCTATATTCGCTGTTCGTCCAGTTAAGATCGTGTGCTTTAATATCGAAGGCTGAGAAATTGTGCTTTTGTTGTTTATGGAACAGTAGTGCTACTCTTACTATGGCGGCTAGTGACGCGTTAGTTTGACGCTTAATCAGCTACAGCAGGCTACGTCTGCGACGGTGCAGTGACAACTTACGAAACACAGATCTACAAAAAATTATGGTGGGAATTTTTGATGTACCTCAACGACTTTTAAATTCGTGTTCAAAAAAGTTTCATAAATTAGCCTAAGGAACTATTGCTTAAAGTTGAGCCATTTAGTGAAAAATAATCAAATAACTAACTTTGGCCTTCTAAAAATCTAACAATGAATCCGCCCGAGCGTTCAGTTTACGGGTCAGCTAATCTTTGACGTCGAGTATAACTACCTGTAACGTGTGCGTATTTCTATTAGTGGCAAATTACTCTCAAGAGATCCTTAGAAATGATCTAGGAGCGTATCACAATTGTACCTTTAGGCCCAGCTGACGTTCTCGTCACATAATGGCCACTACAGCTTCGACGTTCGTACAACACATTCGCTGGGGACCCATCGGCCTATGTTTTGGGATCCGGCAACCAAATCACGCACTAACGTCTTTCGTTTCCTCTGATCATCGAGTAATTATCCACAGAGCTGGCCGCTTAGAGCAGAAGTTTCACGCAACGTTTAGTAGATTCCGTGCAAATAGTCCAGCACGAGATCGTTGGCTGGTCGAAAAAAGGTCGCCATGTATCGATCACGTTGCGGAAACATCTTTCGTAATCCTGTTTCGGCCAAAAGCTGCTTGGGCTCGGTCCATTTTCAAACGCTATGGTGACATCATACTGTGAATACCTGAATAAATAGCAAGCAAGTATTTCGAGCAAATCATGGATTAGAATCTAGGGATTAACGTATTTGTTTCGTGCCAGCGGTTAATCGTACAACACAGTACAAGTTCAGTTCCGGACATAAAACGAGAGTTACAGTTACTTTCCGTTAGTTCACCGCAGGTATGGCTTGATATCGTTTTGTTTGCCCAGCTTCTGGTAGCTGAAATGTCCCAAATGATCGACAGCCAATATGGTCTCAAGCCATGAAATGACAATACCAAATGTAAATGATCCTAAGGCTGAAACGGGCATGCGAGCGAAGCTATCTATAGGAAACGCCGTCATTCACATCCTCTCGAAGCTTTTTGCGCAAAACTATTAGATGATTATCGCTTCCTCGGCACTGAGTACCCGCAAAACACGAGGCGTCGTGTTTTTCGAAATTTTTCTTATAGTAAAGTTTATACGCTTAAACACTAACTTGAGCAACCAGAAGTTATATTCAAAGCCTATGACGATTGGAACTACACGCTATTGCAGGTTGTTTTAATTGCTTAAGATAAGAAAGGGCCATATAGCTTGCCGTTCAACGTATCTCATTACGCCGTTCTACGCAATCTCAAGAAGATTACTTACAAGAGAGGGCATACAGAAGCAGAGACAGCACGGCTGTAATCGTAAAATGCTTTTGAAATTTGTGGGCGTGACAAACACATTCTTTTCTGTTGTCGTTAGATAATAGCTTCACGTCCACTTAAAAAAATATGGACTTGATAATCGAGTTTGAATCATAGAAAGCGTTTTAAAATAATGTGAATCCTCGATAACACTATGATAGACGTATTTATTGTTGGCCAACAAAATATATTTAAAAAATAGGTCTCCAAATAAGGCAACTGTAAGTCTGTTTTTTAAAAGGCTGAACCTATTTTTCACCAGTAATTTTACGTTTGTAAGAAGTTACTGTTCGATTTTTGAACGGCTTTGAAGCCTGTCAGCATTATTACACGAAACGCTTATCAGGGTGGCGTAGATCAGTGGCAAGATTGTTTGGAAATTCTATTTGTATCTATATCTTGTTCCGACTTGAACTTACAGATAGATAATACGCGCTAACTTTATCCAAAAAATAAGCATCTCGTGATGCGAAGTCTTGTGAGGTAAACATTTACGTTTTTACAGGCTGCTAATCGCGTTTACAGCATTTAACACTGTTACATTTTTTTGTTCTATCATGTAGTAGTTCGCTAACTAGCGTTAATAATACACTGTTATTGCCTGCTGCATTCACAATGAATAGAATTTTTTTTCTGGAACATTTAAGAATAACTTGCAGCTAGTCTTGGCCCTTTTTCAGATCCGGGAGCCGAACAGATTTATTGGCCAGAGGATTTGGGCCTCGAAGAACGCACACGTCTGATTTTACTGAACTATAATAAAGTTAATAGTAATAATAATAATAATACGTAAGTTATAAACAGAGGGCAATCTTGGCTCTAGCATAGCCTGTTATACCCGACACGTTTTTTTAGAACGTAAGCAACAAACAATCCTGTGTTGACATCAATTTTTTTCAAAGAGAAAATTTTTAGGATCCAGCTGTTCATTTCCCTACTTAGGTAAACTATTTAAGCTAAGGATTGGTCGAACGAATTGACGGGTACGCTGCCAAATATCATAGGTTATGCGAAATCATTAACTTGCGCAGACGACGGGGGACAACAAGGGAAAGCTCTAAGAGTTATGCTATATGCTAAATGGTTTCGCCGTATCCTTTCTTTGATTCGGTGGAAAAATGTTATTTTTTCATAGTAAAAATGATGCTCATTTATGCAAACGTTTCAACGTACTTTAAAGGTTTTCCTTTAAGCTATTAGGTCTACGGTGACGTTATAGTTTTTTTTCAGCTGGATGACGAGGTTTCAGTAAGTCCGGGATGTCGTCGGCGAAAAGGACAATATTTGAGGGCTCACTAAATCGTTCTGGGCGAATACGTTGGTTTGCCACGGACCGCTCTACACAGCAACTTCGTTCTTCGACTTCGGATCTCAGATGGCGTGCAACTCCACGGTGTACAACAGATCCGTGTAAATTAATGTTTCAAGTCTGGTATTACCGTTAGTGGTGCTGTTTTAGACGACTGGTTCTTAGCATGAAGCAATACTTCGAAGTTAGGTTACCACGTGTGCATTGGTTCAGGAGGTAACCACTACATCATTACCCGGTCAGTTAATCCAGGTGGACCGTTGTTTAGTCACCGCAAGGGTGAAAATCGACGACTTCCTAATACATCGGACTTTAGCTTGATGTTTTCTCGCACTTAATCATTTCCCGCCATACACGTTTCTTGTTTTAAAAACAGATAGTGGCAGATATCGATTACAGAACTTCTTAGTAGGCTCTTAACCAAAGCTGCGTCTTAATTTTCGTTTTGTCATTAACCAGTTGCTGCTCGTTAGCAATTCTATTTGATATATAAAAAGCTACTTAAAGGAATATACGAGAAAAGCTAAGACTAGCTTATATATATATATATATATATGATTTTTGTAACTTTGGCAAATGTTTATAAAACATTTGTATACATATACATTCCTAAATCGTTAAATCGATAAAAATAAAAACCAAACGACTTATCTACTGTAAATTATAAGAACAAGAAACGCCTAGGAAGCATTTTCTCAATACCTCCTCTATCTAAACGTGTTTGGTCTATAGCCTTAACTAAAGGATCACAGTGATGATAGTCCTTAATTTCAGTGAGATTTCATGTTCGAAGGCTGTCCTACGCTGTCGTGGTTACTTTTCTATCGACACGTACACTTCGTACGCTCATGCAGAAACGAGAACGATTTGTTTGATACTGAAGGGTCTACACAGGTAACTACTAATCTATAATGATGCACTTCGAATTTTGGTACGTTGAATATTTTTGAGAGACTGTCAAATAACGACGTCTCTATCTTTGGGCCATACAATCCTGCATGGCAGACCACTGACGATTGTGTAAATAAACAACTTAGCCAACGCGATCCTATGTTTTTGCTGTATAAATCTATCTCGTATAGTGCATGTCGGCACAGTTTAGAGTTTCGCTTGTGACATGACACGGTCCTGATGTGCGACGTATTATTTCATTCATATATACCTCTAACGGGCAGGACCGAATACGCTTGGTAGATGTAGACCTGAGTGAATGATCTGTATAACAAGTCTGTATTTACCGATACAAGCTGGTTAAATCTTCACCCGGTCTACGTGGGAAACGTCATTGGAATCAGGGTATATTCCTCTGTAGTGCAACCTGTAATGTAGTGCCGAAAGCGTCCCGTGCCTTCAGATGCGTATTTCAAGCAGGAAGTAAGCGTTCCTTCACTTTAGTTATATATAATCTCAAAATATTTGGATCATTCGAAAGTTGTGCCACATGCTTTGACTGCTAGCTTAACTGTGATGACCTTACTGCGTCTTGTTAAAGACATGGCACACGGTACAGAAGTAATGTACTTATATACAGGTTGTGCTTTGAAGAGAAAAGGCGCTCTGCTAGACCTTTGCTCCTAGTGCAATATCCCTAAGGGTTGGAAGTAAGTACATCGTCTAGCCATATTGTACATAGTTAGTCTAGAATCATATGTAGATCAATTGAACATTGAAAAGACTTCCAATTGCAATCAAAACAGTGACTTTTATTTTTTCTTAAATATACAATGTATTCATCTATACAAAATGTACACTAAGATACATACAAAGCAAGTAGTAGCAAGAATCCATTCTTCTGATGGTATAAGCACAAACGTTTGAAAAGGTTCGATAGCTTCAAAATCGAGTTGGATAATGATGACCATATCTTTGCGCTGCGTTTTCGAGCCATCTAGTCCACTGAAATAGGTAGTGCTTGCAAAAATGCACGCGAGAATTATCTCTTCTTGAAAACCAATGTCTTCAATATTATGAAGACATCGACAATTGAGATTGATCGCCGTCGTTTACGTCATCGTTTAATTGTCAAAGATTAATTTATATAAACAATTGAACATAAGGTTGGATTAACAAAAGCAAACAGTAGTTAAACAAAAAAAAAAAAACATTTTAAACATTTTTATTTCTCAAAAAGTTTTAAAAACGCATTTTAGCACCTTGATTAGATTACGATTGTTTATATCTCAAGATCGCGGAACGACCATTTCTAAACTAGGTTTCCTGTGCACCAAAGTTACTATTTTTTACAATTCGGTTATATTTTAATATGGTACGCCTGTGAACGCTACCCACTAGGATATGAACGCAGTTCGATAATAACAATTAAATTAGTGTAGATTGGTCGGAGCTAGATCCGAAAGACCGATTGAATCAGTAGCCGATACGTGCTCTAATGAGAGTTTCATGTAGGCACGCATCAAGGTACACACATTGATTGTTTTCAAAGAAACAAGCAAGATAAAATGCCGAAGCAAGGAGATCACGTGTCATCGTTGAGGCATCCGACATAGGGTTCCAGCAGGCGTTCATATAGGTCATTATAGCACCGAGACAACAGCGCGATATAAACTACCATGGCATAGAATGGCCTACATGGAAGGACAAACATGCGCTACGGAATAATGAGTTGACCAAAGGGCCATCTAACAAAGCGATTTCAATAGAATATGGTATTATATTATTACAATTGCTCTCAATACACGTTAGCGACGAGTAAAGGCAATTATAATGAACTCATATTTTATAACTGTACGGTGATGGTGGCCGTCATCGGCCGAACGTGAGGCTCACGCCTGAGAGCTCTCCGATTGGAAGGCATCAGTGGTTTGCGTAAAGCTCCATGGCGATCCAGAGCAGGTTCGTTAGCACCATCAACGAAATCCGTACTAGAAAAATGCCCGCAATAATCAAAATCATTGTACTTCATTATTCCTTCTAAGCTAAACTTGTACTGGAACTAAAAGGTTTCAGCTTGGATCAGAGATTCAACACTTCGCTACCACGCACTTAGTTACACTGCATACACACCTTCACATATTTGGCAATATTAAAGCACCCGTTTAACTTCTATGTACACAGACGACATTCGAAATTCTGTGCGGTTCTGCGAGAATCCATTAATAAGGCAACTCTGTGTCACTAGAAAACGGACCGAAGGTGTTCCAAATAGGCTTGCCTTCCTTTACAAGTTGTTAAAACTGAAGCACAATAAGTTACTGTTAGCTGCTCTTACCTATTAGTAATAGACGAATCGGGCTTTTGCTCCGCTAGCTGGTCAGCGACTTCGTGGTTAGTGCAATCATTTTCGTGCTTGTCGGATGCCACGCTCAATTTTTCTATTTCATTCTGTCCTTCCTGTGCCCCTAGCATGGCTGCTAAAAAACTTTTCCGTGCGCTCTCCTTGTCGACAGGTGAAGCTGGGGGTTTCGTTCGCAGTTCCACTTCCTGACACTCTTTGATCGTCTCCCGAAAGTTTTCTTGAAGAGTGTTGCAAAGGTTTTTCTCTGCCTTTAAACTACCACCCTTTCGAAGGACAGGCACCTCGTTCACCGAGGTGACTGTTAAAACAGGCCGTGGCTCTATTGTCGTGTTTTCAACATTCTCCTGTGACTGCGCCTTACTGGACTTTGACTCCGTCCGTGGAACTCTCTGAATCGAAGATGAATTTATGGTTGATCCAATACGTGTTGCAGTACGACATGTCGCCGCTCTGTGATGGAGCAAAGCAGAACTCATTGATATTTCATAAACCGACAGTTAGCGAAAATTCGGTCCTTTCTCTCTAAAGGACAGACCTGAATAGACCCTAATTGATTGATATTCCTACATAGTGACGAGACCCACACGATTTATTTACGTGCTATTCGTACAAGCAATGAATGACACTTTGGTGCAGACATGTTGATTTCAAAATGTTTGTGCCTTTTCCATTTAACTCCACTACCTATTGTGTTTAATCAAATGAAATTAAGAATACAACGTTTTCAATCAAGGTTCGTTCGAAAGTCGTTTTCCTTTTTTACCTTCGAACGGATCTCCTGCGGCCATTTATTCCGCTGCCTGTGTTGGTGACCACAGTTGTGGGCAAAGACCGCACACTTGATTGACTTTTTGAATTATTCTGAATCGCCCTCAATGCCCTTCTCTCACGGATTCGGCCGACTGTTTCAGCGCTGAGTTGGCGTCGCTTAGAGGCACCACGCGTCGTTCGAATGTCGCCCTTGGTCGGTGTTATTTCTGGCACCAAAATTTTCTGTTCAGCTGGATCACTAACTGACGTGTCATTTAGACCAGCTAGTTTAGCCCCACTCGGTCGCCTGCCCCTCGGTTTAGAGCTGGTGAGGTTGGTCCCTCCAAAGGCAATTACTCCTCCGGCGGGAGCAAGCTTTCGAGAATTGCGCATGGTGCTCGATCCGCGAAGAATTGCTTTGTGACTACCGCCCTGCAGTTACACGTAGCAAAAAATAATATAAATGATATATAGATGCTAAGCAAGTACTGAACAAACAGAAATAGGTCCTCACTGAATACTGCTGAAGAGAACGGTTATAAATTATGATGCAAAATTGACCTAACCTATAATAATGAACATACTAAGTCTTGAAGTGGTTGTATTGGCTAACATACTGTTCATACTTTTGTCATCGTAAAGCTATTGGACAATCGGTAGGGTTACATGACATCTTTTCCACGGAGAAAAGATGCGCAATTGTTGTCATGCAGCATTTACCTTGGATTTGAGAAAAGTGAACAGCTTCCGTTTTACCATTGGCTCTCCGTGGTCACTGAGTTCATCTTCAGAAGAAATCTTGTAGGTGTCCTTTAATGGTTCAAGCTCTGGCGGCAGCGTACCAATCAGTTGTGCGTGATCAATAAGTACTTGCACCGCTATAGTCGCTCGTTCACTGAAACGCGCTGCCATTTCAGGGTTGGTTTCAACCTTAATTGCACCAGGCATCAGTGATGGCGCTACAACTTTGGCTAGATTTGCTGAACTCATCTTATTCTTTGTATCGAGTTTTGACACCTCCTGAAAAGCAAACAGTAAAGACAACTCGAAAAAACAGCTCCCGATTATTATATATAAAGTGATAAACGTTGATAGCATACCGATAATAATCGATCCCCTTGATTATAGAATGTATATGATATATCTATGGACAAAATAACGGTAATCCGCATAGATTTTGTGTCTCTCATCTATTGACCTTCTAGACATTGCTTTCCAATTGGGAGAATATCTAGTTTAGAATTATTTATGTACACCTCATAGAACCGTAAGAGAAGGTCATAGTAGAGGTAGAGAAAAAATTGTAAGCAACTTATCCAGATCGGCACATGTGGGTCGTTCATATAGGTTTTTTTTTTTTTATAAGTTTACCTGTAGAAATAATGCAACATGCTTGAGCGTATTTAAATGAAAAGCTGGCATCAATAGACAGGCCAGAAGAAGGCTCTGAGTTCGATGATGATGGGACTCTAATTGGACACACTTGACAAATACTTCGTGCAATATATGAGGTACAACAGGTTCGGGTAGTGCCCGCAACCATCTGGAAAACATCATTAAGAGAGCGAGTTAGAAGCATGATAGCCTAAATCAACAGTCAATATTTTCTACGATTTGAATTTATATCGGGTAACGGAATTCATGAGTAATTGAATTTTCTATTACGTGTCATGGATGGAGATTTTTGATATAGTGTAAATCTGCTTTCTCCCTTTCCTTGCTCTGCGGAAACATACCCAACTTGCGTGTAGCAAAAGTATATTGCACTAAGTGCACGAGGTAACTAACAGCATAAGATATCCTCAGAGTACTTGCCTCTTTAAAACACAAGTAACATCGTGAACGGAATACTCTTGTCCTGGGGGTACCTGACCGTTATTAGCCTCCATCATGTCCTTTAAAGCTGTCGCACGGCGTTCATTTCCGCTTTTGCGTAGGATCCCCTCTTGGCCAGCGTGTTCTAACAGATGAGATGTGATGGCCTCAAGTATATGAGGTACTGGACTGCTAATTAACGATGAAGTTCCCTGTAAAAGTGACAGTTGCATTCTGTTAGAATTACATAATTGCACATTCCCAACGGAGGAGGTTTATGTGTATATATTGCATTTTACTTGATAGTGTCCAACAAAAAACGTTGCGTATCATGTATAGTCCATAACAAAGCTTTTTGAATTGATCAGGCATTATTAGCATTTGGACGGTACCTGTTGTTGCAGTTGTAGCGGCACTCCAAAGTAGGACGAGCTCTCATGGCCTTCGCCCGCAGCCTCCTCATGAAGCCTTTTCAGGGCCTCGCGTAAGCGGCGCGCCTTGATTGCTGATAGCTTCAGCTGCTTTTTCGAGAGGAGCAGTTTCAGCAGGTTCGAATGCAATTGACTCATGCTGGTGGCAGCGGCAAGGGGGCTTTTGCTAAACGGCAGGGAAGGTCTACAAAACGGCAATGTTTTGGCAATGCTGACACCGAAGAGCGTGTCAGCAGATACCGTTGATATATGGGACACCGCAGCAGTTCGTACTACGATCATAACAAACGTAGAAAAAAAGATGCAACAAAATGTTAAATTTAACAATATTTCTTAGCATTTTTTTCAGTCTACTCACAGAGGCATATTCTAGACTAGGCCGACACTCATCTCTGTATCCTTCGTGGGCTGCATCCCACGTTGTAAATATTTCTTGGTCGATAGAGACTGCACCTTTTCTTGAAATACCCCATTTTTAGAAGTTTATAAATCGCTATGCAAATATTGTCGCTATGTAGCTTCGCAACGCCAAGGAGAGACGAACTCGCTAAGAATACGCCATTGAACCATGGAATACCTAGCCAGTTTTTCCAGCCGAAGTGCGTATCCAGAATGAACATCACCTACAACTGTCGACACTTTCATTGCAGTCGTTTTAGGGCGGAAACCTCAGGCACGATAAACAGCACTCGTCACTTTCGGCACGTCTCACAGGCAAGTGACGAACTAGCCCTGTTCTGTTCGTCATACCGCGTTCCCAAAGTTGCAATATTTTACGATTGCTACTGTCAGCTAAGGTGAACATTAGCGACCACTCTTTTGTTTTTTGGCACCCCGTGATAATATCATTGACTCATAGGCTCATGTATGTTACAAACAAAATGGTAGTAATCTCATTCTAAACGTATTGTGCGTTTCTCAGACACGTAGCACCTCTCACGTCTGCGCAGACTCGATCATGATGTTATCGGCCAAAACGTATTACTATAGAACACGTCATAAGAAGTCTCTTTTAAGCAGGGATTTCTATGATTACGGAACGATCATACTCATTGTTTAGTTGACATGTTTAACTTTTCTCTTACCTAATCGTTTCTTTTTCGGAAATAAAGCGCTGAGTGTCAATTTAGCACGTAAACCCCAGGCGTCGTCGAAATAAAAAACCGTCATTATACCGATGACTGTTACTGACCCGAATACTGACCGTAATCAAATGGATTTATCGTCTAATCTACCGGTAAAAAAACTCCGTTTGATGCATTTCTTCATATGTGACTTCTGCGGCTGATGAGGGGCAAGCATTGAGGAAAGCACAGCTCGAACCTGTTCAATACAAGTGCCTCGGCCGAGTGAATTAATTTACCGAGACACGTATGGTCAGCACAGTGTACAGGTACGGGGAAGTTTGAGGACTGTACCCTTGCCAAGCCTCGAGAAGCGCTGCATGCTTCGTACTGTAGGATGAGAGGGTCAATTAGGAGCTGGGGTTTAGCTCGTTGGAAAATAGCCAAACATTAAATGCGCCTTTTTTCTCAACATTCTCAACACAGCATTTAGTGTATTTCAACAGATTTTAGGGTACCAATGTCGTATTACACACGCAATGAAATCGTAGTTAAGCGTGCTTATGTGATCCTGCTGTGATACTTTTGCGATTGAGAGAATTTTCCCAGTATCTCTTTTGCTCTAGCCTAAAATCAGAGCTGGCAGTGAATGCTCGCTACGGCAACAACACTCGAACATTGTGGAGTTCATCGTATCATTAAAGGGAACCTCGACTCCTTTCGTATGGCTGATAATCGAAGTAGAAGTCCAATGTAGTGAATCATGAATGATGGTTACACCATGTCGCCTACCTTCAATATACATTGTATATGACAGAACAGTGATGACACTTATCCTAACCTTACCCATTGTTAATTTGGCTTAATATAGTTCTGGTTCGAACTTCATCAAGTTGTATATGTATTCAGCACATGATTTGGAAGACCCTGATCTCCTTTAGCCGTCTAAAAGGCCAACAATTTCTAGGAACACATCGACGGAAGGAAGACTGCTCGCAGTTTCGTTGTAAAGCTATTTTATAGAAAGAGAGCTAAAACACTTTGTTGACACTGTACCCCCGGGATGCACGTTCCAGATAGTAAAGTGCATTTCATACACATCTGCTGTTTTTGCGCGCGCCTACAAAGTTAAGCTCTGTCGAAAGCAGTTAAACAAATACCGTTTGTTACTCAAATCGCAACGGTAAACGACTGTTGAAATTAATTAATAGGAATTAAATAATATCGTTGGGCCTTAAGGATACGCTTCGGTGCGTATTGTCAGCCGACTGGGAAGTGACTCGTCGTTAAGTTCATATGATCATAGCCTGCCTATGACTAATGAGATATACAAAGAAGTAAAGATGCTGGCTACCCCGCATAGCGACCGACAACAGCGCACGGAGACGGGTTATTGTCGCGCCAAAAGGGCTCGTCCGACACGCACGTCGATTGCATGACGATTACCACAGTGTTATTACAGGCGCTGTCATAAACTGGATAATGATAGCTAATTTGTAGTTTAAGCGTGAAACGATGTGTGAGAAACGCAACGTAATTTACCGCTCAATCGGGTACTACGGACAAGTAAGCTTTTGTCCTACAAATTCACTACTAACTTAAATATGTGGACCGGTTTTTAGTCTTTTTTTGTTCAAGTTTCAATGTATTATAAGTTAATACTCAAAGAATTTCAATAGGTTGTATCGTTTTTTTTTTTTAAATTAGTAATTAGGCATTTTCGTCGATCGATTTTGAATGACCCTACTGGATATCTGTCCGGTGCTGGCGTTAACTGTCGTTTCAGGCGATTGGCCCTTCGCCCGTATCACTGAGCTTAACCGGTAAACACGATCGTGGGGTCAAGTTAGAAGGGACGTGGCTTGAAAACATCATTAATAATTGTTTTCTTAATAAAACAAACGCGAAAAACCGCTGTGGTAAGGGCAGCATTAATCAATAATGGCATTTGGTTTTTATAGACTCCTGTTTGTTTGGTCCATTACCTATTATAAGTTAACTTTGTCCAGGTAAAATGCGAGCGATAAGAAATCAGTTGACCGCAAAGTTTACAATTTTAAAAAACTTATTTGAGAAGTGCGCGCTGAACTCAAACTAAGCCAGTGATCTAATTACTTCAGTTTTTCTTAAAACTCTCTTTTCTTTCTTAAGAGAAGCTGAAGACGAAGACTCGTTTTTTTTTTCAAGTTGTCTTCTACGCCAAATCAAGCCTTTTTCTGTTTTAGCTGAAACCAGAAGGAAGCTATTTTAGGGATATCAATGACTGAACGATCAGTCGAAAGGCCGATCGTCGATCGATTGTTTGCTATAGGACAGTGCCGACATGATCAGAGCATTGATATAATGTAGAGTGCACGATATATATCATATTTTGGTTATCGATTATATTAACAATATCATTGTTGACCGAAACGCCTAAACCGGGTGCAAACAGAATAGGCTACCTGGCCATAGAGATCATTTACTTTTTTTTTGTCAAACACTATACCACCGTAGTACAATGAACAGTTTGTGCCAACTTTGTCGGCAACAAAAGTAACCAAAACGGCTGAAGTAGAAATTTCCAATAAATGGCCAACAATAGAAACGCGGACACAATCATATATTAAAGACGATCGGCCGATTCGCAGACAGCATCAGTTCTAGAGTTATTATGATGATTACGAATTTCATCAATGTCATAAAAAGAGAATCGAAAACAGCTCAAAATAATTTCAACAAAAGACGACAGAGAAAAATATCAAAAGACGAACAAACGTTAAACATGCTATATAGGTTAATATAAATAGCAGAAAATGTCCGCACGCACTCTACTTTGCCTTTTCTTCGGCCTGATCAATACTGTTGATAGCGCAGAACGTTCCTTCGTTTCTGTTTTGTTCTAACGTTTGCCGTGAGCAACTCCTGCACCTGTGAACAGTCCCAGCGCTCATACGTATAGCCAGCAGATAGCGATCTACTCCACTTATTAACAAACATCCAATATTGTGTATCTTCGTAGTTATTTTTAGCGGACAATGTAGTTATTATGTGCTATAACTAACCGTCACCTCATAATATTATGAGGTGACGGTTAGTTATATAGATAAAGGTCATCCTCTAAAGGAAAAGGCGATTCACGTCAACCACCGTCGTGGCGTTTGCTCTAAACTTTCGTAGCAAAAGGAACCAAACGGATTTTGGCGAGTGTGGGAACTTAGAACTGTTACGAGCTTTTCAGCAAGATGGCAGGATCTTACTTGCCGCCATCAAGCAAGTTTTATATTCTCTGAGTAATACACCCACGCAGTTTTCGTAGACTTTCGTTGTCTTCGACTCCGCCCCAGCGAATTGAACCGTAGCCATCTTCATCGACATCGGCATTTCGACGAACGTACTTAACCTAATGGCAGCGATACGCCAAACAAATAGGGTTAAAATCGATTCTGGGGGCTCGGGAGCTGCCAGCATTCTTCCAGTATACGAATGTGGTCCCAACTTGAGCCCTATCCTTTTCTCCGTTGTGCTTCATCATGCTTCGCATACAATATGTGGCTCCAGAAATATGATAGAAGTTAGATCTGAATAGACGATTTACTTATTGACAGGAGGGGTTGCTTTTACGCGCAACCAGTCCAAGGCAGATTATGTCTTTTTGGAACTGGGACTGACCATAAGAGTAACCAAAACAGAAGCAATCAAATTCAAATCAGGGGACCATAATTGTGGTTCGTGACATGCTACGTTCCTTTGGCCGATCGCTACCACGTTGTGACCGGTTCACCTACTCAAGGTTGCTAACCTCGTATAAAGTTTCTTCCAACAAATTACAGAAGGACGCATAAAGCTTCCACCAATGGTCTTTCTCTACGGCTTTGCGGTTTCCGATCTCAACGTTACGCCGATTGCAGCATGAAGGTTAAGCTTAATCTGAATGATTTTACGGTAAAAGATTTGGAACATATTTACCGAACAACGGCCTCGTTCCTTAAAGGAGTATTATGACCGCACCGGACAACCTATGATAGACTTCTTTACTCCCTGGCAGCGATGCCACTATCCGCCGAGGACCTCCAATGGCGTATCAACCTATCTACAGTTCGCGCATGTTTGGTAAAGCGGTTCTGAAATTTATCGAAGGGGGCCATGGCAAACGAGGCCTAGAAAGGACTTGACCGGTCTCATAGATATGTAGTGACGCACTATGCGGTACACGGTTTTCAGTCTCACCTATACAAAATACAGTTTCAGAAACATGATGAATATTGTGTTTGTACTAGGTAGAGAAAATCTCGTACTGTGAATCATGCCTCTCACTGTCTAGAAGTTCAATTGCCGAACGCTAGCTAGCCGACGAGTGGCCATAACGAGGTGTTTAATGTATAATGCAGTTTATAGCAGGTACAAAATAACCCTGTGAATCCTAGGTTGACCGTTCCGGGAAGCGGCTTACGGCGTTTGCCAGACTCCTGAAGGCGTTATATTTACGGTATAAGATAGCTCAGAACGCCAAGTTGTTATAGATATATTTCAGGTGTTCAGAATGTTGTCTGGCGAACACGAATTAAGTTTAATTGATATAGGTATTATGTTCTCTTACTGTTTCCGAGAGGATAACACATCAACAGTCTTTTAGGGGCATTGAGGAGATAACTGCACCGTTGAAGACTGGCGTTAATCTAAAGCAATCGATCTTGTTGCTAGGGCTGAAATGATAATGGCTATGTCTCTAAACTACCGCTATAATAACAGCTACATCAATCATCTATTTCATCGCAGAGATCTGACACAGCCGCAACAACAAAAGCAGCGGTCTGCGGCCGCACTCTAAATAGCCCAAGTTACCACCGCATTTGGTATAAAAGCGAAAGCTATTAGCTACGTCGATTTCTCAACGTTACTTCTTTATTTGATCATTTGCTCTTGACGGAGGACCGAAATAGGTACATACGACATAGCACGATCGATCTGTTATCTGGTCGTTTTTGATATGATGATGGACTGCGCCTTGCCCTTCGGCCATGACTAATCGCGGACGTATTGCAGAGTTGTTATTGTTGTATAACACTACTGATGACGACCTGGATCGCCATCGAGGTTCCTCATCAAAATCAAAGGCTTGAGTACGCGCATTTACAACGAACGAAGTGATAGGGGTAATGACAGACATGTTCCGCACGTACATGCTTAACGCTTATGTTTAGAAATAGTGAACAAATATCGACTTACACACGGACACCCATATACAGGGCGTACCGTCAAGTGTATGAAGTGTCGTAGATGCCGCCGGACAGCTGGAATGGCCAATTTCATGTGGACGTCAAGATGACTTCTTCAACGACGCTGTAGCAAGTAACAAGGGCGCCGGCAGCTCCGGCCAAATCAACTGCACCCGTCGGCTACTATGGTTATAACCCGTTCGACATGTAGCGACCGCATCGATATAACTACATAACGTAACAGTAAAGGATAAGGCTACTTATATATATATAAGGAGTGCCTCGATTGATTCATTCCGGCCATCCATCACTGCAATTGCTATAAGCATCTTCTAGCGCAATCAATGCTTTTGGTGGACGTTTCCCGTCTTTTTAACTGTGAGCCATAATAACCCAGTTTAACACTCACAGTCATTAGTGCAGACATTTACTAATCGTCTAAAGATAGGTGTCAATCCAATGATCAGCTGGGATGGGTCGACGACAATGGCAAAAACGCTAATAGCGTGCAATTGCGTTTATAATTCTCCATGTATGTACGTGCACACGTCGCGTTGGCGTCAGTTCTGAAACCGACATAACGTGCGGGTTCATTATTATGCACAGAGGATGTACACCTGTACTGGATTAAAGTGGATATTTACGGTGTCAAATCCCAGTCCGTATACTATCTTAAGCCGCAATTGCGCATAGTCCGCGTATAGTCAAAAGATAGTGTAGATCACCTATTCCGCTCAATAAAGAACTGTAAAACTGTACATACACATACTAACATACAGGTATTTGTCATTAGGTCTCAGAGATAACGGGTGAGTTTATGCATGCCCAGGTTCATGTTCTTTCATGCTGTATTCGTAGATCTCAACCCAGTGGAAGCAGATAGGCTAGTATTGCTGCTAAGTCGATTTAAACCCATATAGTGATCCTCATATTAATTGTTACCATTCGCTGCTATCGCATTACGTGCCCCTGGAAACTATAGTCGGACCCCACATGTCTGTCTCCAGTTTCAAACAAACAGAAACATCGAATAGCTAATATATCGCCGTTCGTTACGGTCGTGCTGGTTGTAGTAGTAAGAGTATCAATAACACCAACAGCTGAGTTTAGGGACTATGCGCCCACAAACGCCAGACAACCTCATCCTCATGCCTTTCTTGCCCAAATGGATAACAAATGAAAAAAATTGAAGGTCTTGCTATCGGATCCTATCACCAGAGACGCGATCATCATCGGTATCGCGGCTGTTTCTACGTTAAGAGCTTGCCTCCACTGCACAGGTTGCTTATTCTCTATCACAAAACAATACTATACAGTTTTTAAGTATTTAGAGCGTTTCTGATAGACAGAAGATGAAACGCACATTGACTTTTTGCCATCGACCAAACAGCCGCAACCGCCGTATTATATGGGACAGCCGACCAGAAATGGCGTCAGTAAGCATTAGCAGGCGGAAGACGTAGTGCTATAGCGTTGTGTAGCGGGAGATGCTGATGGCTGATCCAAGGCAACGCAGGCAGGATCAAAAATGCATTCTTCGGCTCCTGGGCTCGAGCCCGACCCGGCGACGGAGACGAATGTTTGAATGTTTTTTTGTGCCAAAACGCTTTTTCTTGCTTTGCGTACATGCACAGGCATGTGTGGTCGGCGGATGCTGCGATCACCTTAGAGAGCTTACCCGAAGTGACGGCTACCGCGAAAATTGAAAAATACTCATCACTTCTAGTAATAACGGGTCAGATCCTTAGGAAATGAAAGGCTAATAGCTTGCGTATCGCACAAAGAGCGTCGTTGTTGTAGAATACAGATTGGTAACAATGTATTAAGTATTCGATTTATCAGCAGATCGACATATCACTTACGTGATACTTGTGTCTTCGCACATTTGTTGGGCTTTAAAGCCGGCTAAGTACTTACGGTTGGCCATTGCCGAAGCTGATCGGCCCCATCAACACTCATAGCTGTCACTTGTATTGTAAGTAGCACTAGACATAAATGTCTCGGGTCTTTGATCGTCGCTGATACCGATCACAACAGGAACAGTCGACGCTTTCATTAGGTGCGCGACGGCAATAGCAGTAATTCGTTGTCGCCCTAATACAGATGGCGACAGAACAAAGTGCGTGATGCTGAATGATGAATATTGGCAGGGCAGGTGACGCGAGTGCGGCCACATGGGACTTCAGGCGTGACACGCTAGATACGACAGCAGCGGCAAAGGCGACATGGGACACTTGCGCGAAAGGAAGTGGCAACCACGCCACCGGAAAAGCTGCTAGTCCAGTTTAGTCGCACGCAACAACAGAAACCAGAACGAAAACGAGGAGTGTAAAACGGAGTACGTGCAATGCACGCAATCCGACGAATTCATCGTTCAGAAGGTAGATATAGGAGACTTTGCGCCACTATCTAACAGTTGCTCTCACTATTTCGCCAGCTCACCGTGTTGCTTGATACAAAAGCTTTACCTGTATGTAATGCGCTGGATCTGCGCGTTCGGCCTTTCGGCTAAAAAGAATCAGCTGTATATTGGGATGACGATACTGCTGATGATCGGATTGGCCGATGTTTGTGCAGATAATGGTGCTGCTGCTGCCAGTGCTGTGAAAGCATTTGACGCGCATGCTCTGGTCAGAGCGTTGTCAACCACGGACGTCAAAAAGACGTACAAATACAGGAGATATGTGGTTAAGCGCTGTCAGTCACTCAACCACATGCGGCAATAGATTTTTTTTGACCTCATCATTTTTAATGGGGCTGGGACATGTGAGTAACCCGAATAGAATCCTCGAAATGAGTGCCATATGCATTCGAGTAACTGCGCAGTATAAGTGGCTTGTGCGATAGTTGATGATATAGACCAACGTTTTCGGGAATTCCTTATTTGGCACCGGTTAAAGGGTATGTACCACACGCATTTTCAGGGAACGCAGATGTATAGAAGGTGCTCAAGAAGCCATATAATATGCGCAACTCTGATTGAAAAAACCAATTCACAAGTACGTCTATGTACGTAGTGCTGTCTGTCGACTACAATTTAACCTACTTCTAGCATAATAGATCTCGCCGAGGGCTATTCACCTGTCCGACTGGTGCAAAGGTAAGCAATCATTTCGTACTGATCCGCACTTTCTCCTGAACTCATATTTTGACACATTCAGTTTGGTTCTCATGAGAACCAATGGCACACGATCGGGGGATGGCAATTAATTAAACCGTTGCCTTTACGCTTTCGGTTTGCTGCCCAATGCTACAGTTCATTGAGCCGACAAAAGCACAGTAATGGCAGCATTCTGTTGAGCGATACAAATAGCAAGCCGGCATAAAAATTCTCCTGTCGACCGAAACGTCGACCATCTCCATGAGCCAACAATTAGGTAACCCTCAAAGGCGGCCCTCATCATCGTCGATGCCATATGTCGTTTCCCATATACATTAAACATACCCTATATAGTGCGGGACAAAATCTTCGGTCGCCATAACAGCTATATATAAATAGGCATTACCAATACGACTAGCAGTGCAGACCCATAGAAGCACTTTTGCAAAGCTTATAGATTTAGAGCCGGGCAGCGGCGCGTATCCCGGTAGGATAAAATGGAAGCAAAAAAACTTTGATAGACCAATTGTGAGGAACATCTGCTCACCGTAAGGGAAGAAGTGAGTCACTCCACCCGCCAAACAGCAACGCTGATACTAATACTACTTATATTTGGGATATTTTGTTCATTATCACTATCGCAAGCATCAGCCGCTGCTGCTACAGGTGGTTCGTTCCCGCTGATGATTGCCCGTAGAACCGCAAACAGCGTGAATTTTCCCAGACGCTGTTTTCAACGAGCCTTCAGCGAGTTTTTCAGATACGTTGCAGCCATCAGGTAGTGACTTGAGTTGAGCTATGGTTCTTTAAAGCTGCTCCACTAGAAAAAAGATGTCGCTTACGGTCAACTAACAATCCAATCCGAATTTGCCCCCCATTCGTTGATTGTGAACATTTATAATCGCTCCCACCACTACAGATTTGAGGGCGAGGCACATTTGTAGAGAGTACCGGCAGATACGCAATTGTCAATAAAAATTTGTTTAGCTTTTTTCCGATGAATCAAAATTCATCTAATGACTTGGTACGTACGTTTCACAGGGGTTATAGCACAAATGTACTCAAATTTACTTTTGTATATGTGTGTGTGCGTATGTCACGTAGGCGTTTGTATATTAATTAAGTTTACCGAATCAAAAGCGATTATAGATAATGCTTTATGGAGCCGGTGATAGTGATAGGTAATTAAGAAGTACAAGGATGATACAAGTAGATTGTACAGCGAAAGTCTCAAGCTAATTTCTGTCTTATTTCGGTTGGGGAATCCTTGCCCGTATTAGTTAGCTGTCAAAAAATCGTCTCCTGTTTTTCAGCAGCGAGCATTATAAGCTTCACCGTTCATATATCTATCAGTCTGTTGAAAAGACGACCAATTCTATATTGCTCATTCGGTAAGTACAGAGATATTCATTCTCTAGCATTTAGCTGAAATTAGGAAAATGAAAATAAGCTTGTGATCTGTAATGATATGATCACCGCTTGCAGCCCTATACATCGTTGCGGTAATGACGACAGTCGGCACTGAACAAAGGCCATTTTATCTCTAAACGAAACAGACCAAATTTCTAAATGGCTAAAAATCACATTATTACGTCAAGGTACACACAAGTTCAAGTGTTTACCTAATAACTCACTGAACTGAAAAGGGGAGAGGATGGCCATCGACGTAGCATTGCATGCCTTCAGGCCCTAACACAAAGATCGAATACGGCGCTGCCAAAAATTACACCCTCATAAATGCACCGCATTAAAATCCATGGAAGCCGTTAAGAGCAAAACGAGAAAAAGATCGAAGTAAAATGAAAAAAGCAGCAAAAAAAAAAAAAAGAAAAACGCCATTACCAGATCATCACGATGTGTGAAAGCTCGCAGAGGTTCAAGCAGCAGCAGCAGCAGTACAAACAGGATATTGGAAAAACAACCGGGTGACAATGGCGGCAAAAGCGTTCTTGCGAGCAACAACACCAGCCATTTTCTAGATCCGGCTTTGACTGTAACCAGATTTTAACGAGACTTTATCTCATTAAGCCACATGAATTGACTTGGCCAAATGTTACTTGTAGAAGGCCTAGCAATGGCGAAAAACGACTACAAAATTATCTCTAGACTATTGGTAAGTGGTAACCGCGATGATCTTGCGGCCTTTGTACCTTGTTTAGCGCCGCAGACGCCTCCTATTGAAGAAATTATCTGGTAAATTAAGGACTTTCATTAGTTTGTAAGGTCATCTTTTTCAAGCAGTGTCACCAATCAATGATGCAATACAGATTGAAATAACGACACTGTAGAAACACTTAATATTTTATCGCTTTGGAAGGGATCAAATTAAGGCCCAGAAACTATGCAATTGCCATATTTGAGCCTATTATTAAAAAAATATATATTTATTTGAAATTTCGCTAAACGGTCAGTGGCTAGATATAATTCAACATGTCACCCGAACTCATCAGTAGCCTATACATCGTCATCGTCCAGGATAATTTCAACGTTATTAAACACGTGTAGCAATTGATATTATTCGAACAGTTTCATATGTAGTAATTGCGCCTCTATCCTCTACCAACAATAATTCCTATTAGACATCAGACTAATCCTTGCAATCATAATAGGCCTAATACGGTCACAATGGTTTCTTCTCTTAAAGGAGACGAATGATCAACAGGCCTTTTTCACTATTTACTCCATAACTGCAGTCGCTGACGTATCAATAGAATGACGGAACTACTGATTTCTGCTACTGGAGCCGCTGTCCGAGTAGTAATTTTTGTACATCAATTATAATCACATCACGAAGTTAGCAAGCGACCTCGGCACAAGCAGCTGGCGTGTGATCGAAAGTTGAACGTAGCAATGTATTTCTCATCTGGTGGAGTCATTGCTACATATAATAACGTCATCCTCAGAGTGGTAAGTTTCGCTACGCAACAACTGCTGCCACCGGCCATATCAAACACGTGCTTCTCCATCCGTGACCAGCGGCAGACTTCATGCTACTACAGGGTTGACGACGTGTCAGGCGTAGAAAGATAGTTCGGTAAAAACACAGTCATCAGCTGTAATAGGTGCACGAACACATTTTGCATCGTTGCATCCAACCTCGCCAAAACGCTTGTCGCGTAAGATGCTGACGTTGGAAGCTCAGAGCGATGAACACATCGAAGCAGGTATATGTACCATGCATCGCAATAAATGCACTAACACCAACAGCCATGGCACCCATCTAGTCACCGACAGAGACTGAGGGAAATAGAAAGCGCGGGCAGAGATACCGTCGTACTGGCCAACATGAGGAGAGTCAGTGGTGATCCAAGCCCACCATAAAAAAACTACCGCTACAGCTCAACACCAATGTTGTGTCGGTTGGTCGGCCACCTGCAAAGCAGCAACAATAGCAAATCGTATCGTCATACCAGACTTCCATATACTACGTTTTGGTCGACGTCGCCATTGACGCTAAGGCCTTACCGTTGACGACAATGACGGTGATTACGATCTACGTTGCCGTTGGCAGATACAAACTAGCCAATCTTTCAAGTACAAATTATGGGCCCGCACGTCCGCATGTTTATTGTATGAGTGCCTTATTATGTCCAGCGTATGAATATTTGTGCAATAACTATCTATAAATAACGAAATCTAGAAAAGAGCATGGTTCTGTACCCTGCAAAGTGTCGTATGCTTTTCTGTACGACTGTATTTAATAGTGTTCTTACCTGCACAATAACAAATCAATTGAATTCTCTTGGCATGCTGCATATAGTAGTGAGTCGCACCGCTCCAAATCCATGACCTGAGGCTTTGATTTTCGAAACCCTGCGTTATTATTAACCTTCAACTAGGTCCGAACTCTAATGTATAACCAGACATTAATAAAATATTTAGAGAGAGATCAACAAAACTGTTAGATCATTACAAGTTTCAGATGTGGGTTTGTGTCTACAAACGAAAATTAAATGTCGACGTCGAACATCCTTATACAGCTTACAATCTATGCCCCACCCCCCAATTTCTTTTTCATATAGCGACGTCGCCATAATGAATAAGGTAACGTTTCCCCTCTACCTGATTCTAATGCCCTCCCTGATCAGTCGCTACTGATCAATGCTGTTTTCGATGATCCTACACCGTCTCCGTCCTCTCTTCGCCACCCAAAGGACCTGTTATGTAAATCTTTCTTGGATCTATCCAACGCGGACGTCGTGCGCTCAGAGTCGACCAGAAGCAAGGTCATGTCTGCCACAAAGGACACGAGACATTATTATGAGGCCACACAACATATAAAGATGCCGCTAGGAATCTGATCGTCTGCTCATGCCAGATTCGCAGCTTCGTACCCTCGACTTTCAATATCCTGTGTTTCTTGCTCCCTTGTCTTCTGTTAAATCTATTCTTCTGCGCAAATGAAAAGACGGGGCCGGTCATAACACTAAGGCGACAGGCCTGAACTATCAACGAAAGAGGCGGCGGCGGCGGCGCCCCGGGAGAATTAACATCGACAGACCCAAACTGTATCGTGCGCATATTGAACGATGCGACCGTGTAGTTCTACGGCCACGCTCGTCACAGTGCACAGCTGGCACTCGTCGAAAATTTGCTTGCTATATACAGTAAGGAGACATGGGACATCTAATGAGCTTTGCTGCTGTTCAAGGCACAGACTGACGATGAATCGAAGGTATTCGTGCATTGCAACGTTCACAATTTGCCTATCCTTAGTGTGTCGCCGTTTGGTCTTTACCGCCATTGTTCGACCTTCGACAAAAGACACATGCGCAGTAGTACTAATGTGGCTGGAACTGGTAGGTCGGCTCTATACAGCTCTCTGCACGAGGTCCAATCAAGATAAATGCAAATGTCGCTATGACCGCGAAAATCTCTTATTGCTTCTTCATTCTCTCTGCCCTCCTACTCCTCTCTCGCTCGAGTCACGCAACATTAGCTTCTACCAAAAACCGTCCGCGACCACGCTGATCATACATGTCACTTTTCATCGAGCTGCTGTTCGACTCAATCAAACAAATTCAGAAAACCCTGTTAACCTTCTTTTCCTCTCATCTTTTTCATTTTCTTTTTTTTTTCATTAAAGCTTCACAGGAGTTTTGCTTAAAACTGTTGCAAATGTTTTAATTGACTGAATTCAATGTTGTCACTATGTATGTGTGCATGTATGTATGTACATACATACATACATACATACATACATATGTAATACATCCTCGTCACCTGTTCCTAACTTTCATTTGATTCTTTTCTTTTATTTCCTCCATCCATTAAATTTCCTATGAAAGGCCAGCGAACAAGCATATCATTAGGTTTTTCATTCCAGTTTGTTGACGCGAAAATTATAGACCGGCACTTGGACAGTAAACTCAGTAAAACGGCTATAAAAAACGTGCGTAGAAGTTGATTAGGAAAGAAAGAAAAAGGAACCATAAAGCAACGATTGAAATGAAGTACAGCCAGATAAAAGCAGCATTGATGCGGCAGATCCTCACCGTTACGAGCAGTTTTCCCCATGACTAAATCTGACAGATTTGACAGGTTCGTGGTCATCATCTTCGTTGTTACCTCTGCGTGTTGCAGAGAGTTACATTTAAGCAAGACAAACCACGTGGTCACCGCTTTGTCAAACTGGATGCGATAAGCATATTAAGATAAGTAATTCTAAAGTAGTCTTTTTCATTTTGTCTAGTTACTTTTTGAACGACTCAAGCAAATAAATTTCACTCTTGTCCGTTATTGGACCGAAGTCACAAGCAATTACAGACATTGAAAACGGCGAAGGATTAGCGATCTATTGATTTAGCTGCATGTACATACAGACTTCAGTGAGAAGAAACACAATGGAAAGCGCACTACAACAGTAAACTTTTACCACAACCCCACCCGCGCATTTAAATTGATGGAACACGCAATACTACAGAGTTCTACAAATATAAATGAAAATCACAACATGCTCAACATACGCTGGTTTTCGGGGGTATTTATGCCCAGTAGTTCGGTTCGGTTCGGTTCGGTTCGGTTCGGTTTGACAGATTAACCGAATTGGGTCAATGAAATCGTTTTTAGTAATTCAGGGTGTTCAATATAAAATTTATTGGATTCAGGGGGCGGGGGGGAGAGTCGTCAGCGCCAACTTGATGAGCATAGCGATATAGTGTACCTTGCTTGCAGAATTCTTAATGCCTTCGCGTAAAAACGCGATCCTGCACTGCATAACGTGATTATGAAATGAGCCTCTTACAGATGGCGTGGGGTGGGGGTAATTGCAGAATTTAAAGAAATGTGTATAAAACGTATTTCAAAGCTTCTACGGTATATTTATTTTTGCCATACAAGCAATCATCACCCTCACATATACATGTATCGAATAAAGAGAATAGGATTATTTACAGACCATTCCGTAGAATGGCACGACAGTAACAACAACAATAACTATATATAATAAGAGCTAGTATATTTGGTCCATAAAAAAATGCCCCGTACCTATTTATATTTGCCCATTGCGAAAGATTTGTTTGATATAATGCTAGTATTTATGGTCAGTATCGCCAGTCTCCGGGCGCTATTAGCCTGGGAAAATAAATAACAATTTTTCTGTTGCTGCTGATACTTCTATAAAAGCTGTCGGATAGCCCTGTTCTTTTAATGTCTCGGAACCCTTTTTGGTTCAAGGGACACCGAAGGCCGGAGCAGTGCGTGCCAACCCGATGCTAATTATACATATATCAAACACACAAACGATGACGTGGCAAAGCATATAACGCGAAGTTCTTTTACTTATTTGAAACTAATTAACTATTTCGATTATTATATCTATTACCAAATCG